TGTGCGCCCCCCCCCCCTCCGTTGCAGCTGCTGCTGGCGATCCTGAGCTCCGCTGTGCCCAGTGTGAGCCCGGGACCAGCACAGCAGCTCTGCGGCCGGAGATCAAACGGATATGGTCTCCTCCTCCTCTTCGGAATGCAGGAAGTGATGTGTATTACATCACTGCCTGCATTCAGTGTCACTCTCCGGTACAGAAACCGGAGAGAAGCTGGTGAAGCAGGTGTTTGCTTCATCAGCTTCTCTGGGGGTCCCCAGGTGACATTATGGGTCTCAAAGACCCCTGATGTCTCCATAAAGAGGACCTGTCACAGAAAATTGACTATCACAAAGGGGGCTTGTTAATCCCCTATGTGAGAGCAATAAAGTTAAGTAAAAAGAAAAAGGTTTAAAAGAATTAGTTACAAAACAAATATTAAAAAATTTAAAGTCACATATAAAGGTAATAAAAAAATAAAATAAATAAATGTAAAGTCCCCCGGCCCCCCACATACACATGCAAACATGCGTCGAGTGCGCCTACGTGCGGAAACGACGATTGCATCCATTACGCCACACATGTTACATATCGCCGCGAACGTCGCAGTGAGAGCAATCATTTTAGCGTCATCAATCACTGATAACACTAAACTTATGAGCGCTAAAAGCTTTCAAAGTGTCGCCTATGACAAATTTTGGGTATGGTAGTTTTATATTTTGCCAAAATTTGGGTAATAATAAGTGTTTTATAGCATAACGTAGTGAAAACTTTTTTTCACCCGAAATTTTCGGTACTTTTTTCAATATATAGTAAAAAATAAAACCCGTAGTGGTGATTAAATACCACCAAAAGAAAGCTCTATCTGCCCCCAAAAAATGGTAGAAAATTCATTTCAGTACAGCGTTGCATGACGGAATAAATGTCAGTCAAAGTACCTCAGCGCTGAATACTGAAAAATGGCCTGGACAGGAAGGGGGTGTAAACACCACGGTCAGCAAGTGGTTAAAGTCAAAAGGATTTTAAGCCATTTCAAATGCTGATTAAATCACCTACAATGGCTGCTTATTGATGTTTAAAAGTTTTACATTGTTATTCACAAAAGGGTGAAGAGGTTAGAGAAAGCCGGAGAAGGGAACAATCTAGGATAAAATAGCTGATTTGGAAACATTCTCCAATTCAGCTCACTTTCCAGTTCAGCTATGTTGTCCTAGATTGTTCACTTCTCCTGCCTTCTCCAAACTCTGCACCCTTTTGTGAATAACCCTTTTAGTTTCGTGTAGAATCTGCGGATCCCCTGAGCTTTGGTCCTGACTTCCTGTTTTAGAGTGACTCCTTTTTCAAGCAGAGTGCTATGCAGTCACCCATGTGTGTGCTAGTAAGCTGTGTGTGTCTCCACAAACACACCAAATCAAGCTACTCCCCTCCCCCTGGCCCCCTCTCCAAGCTAGTAGATGAAAAGTTGTTGGAGTCTGCACTGTCCTTTGTGATCTTATACTGGACAGGAAGTTTAGGGAAGCTGAGCTGAGAGACTTGGAAGCAGCTGTTAAGAAACATGATGATTGTTTGGGCAAAAATGTTAAGCAATGTTTTACTGGGCAATGTATGTTTGTTTAATCTGCATCCATTATTGAAAAGAAAAATTGAGAGTTTAATACTACTCTAAATCCTTCGTTATTCTACCACTTATTTTTTTATAAATTCTTTATTTGGCACAATATCACAATATAAGATATACAACCAGGTAGTCAAATGACACTACGTGAAGGTGGAACACAGGGCCATCAATAAGGCTGCATACAGGGTCACAGCCCAGTGAAATTCAAAACAGATATCACTTAAACAATTAGGAGACTGCGCTCAAGCAGGGGGGAGAGTATACTATGGTCTACTTTCAGTTACATCCCCGCTGCAAGCACTACCTTAAGTTGAGCCATGATATGTATATTCTACCACTTTTATTACAAACTTAAAACAATTTTGGATGGACATACACTTTAAAAAATATCACATAATTCTAAGTGTATCACTTTTGCACTGTTAGCCTCTATGATGTATATTTGCATTGTGTTGCAGCCAATTCATAGAGGAACATGAATGACACCACTGGATGAAATATTGGATTTGATGTTGAATGAAATGACATTTCACAATGGCTGTGCATGTTGCTTTTGTTTCAGGTGACCATAAGTTTGTCTCTGCGACCTTCCGCCTCTTCAAACTGCCAAAAGACGTTGTGAAGGAGCAAAGCCTGGTGACTTACACAGGAGGAATTACTGGCTATGAAACGCAAATTCAGTTGGATGCAAACTACACGCTCATGGTACTGCATTATAGAAAAGATACATCTTATCCATGGGATCTATTCAAAGAAGAACCCGAGCTGCAAGGGCGAGCTGCTCGTTTTGGTCTAGGGGTGGCCAAATCCGACCCTCCAGCTGTGCTTTAACTACAAATTCTAACATACCTTTGCCTCTGTGAGTCAAGCCTGTAACTTTCAGTCTTGCAATGCCTCATGGGACTTGTAATTCCACAATAGCTGGAGGGCCGGAGTTGCCCACCCCAGGTCTAGGGGCAAAAATAAAGAAGAAATACTCACCTCATCCTCCATTCTGCAACAGTGATGGCTTACCTCTCTCCCCCTCCACTCCAAACGGAGGTATGTCCTTCAGCATCTTCTCATCTAATGGACCTGTATTAGACGTGAGGGTGTCACGGGTCTTTAGACCACCAGAGCCCGAAGGAGAAAAGGCTTCAGGGACCAGCTCAGCAGCCAGGCGGGACCCAAGATCAGGTGAGTATTTCTTCTTTATTTTCGCCCCATAGACCCTTAACCCTCGGAGTGTAGGGGCAGCCACCCTGCAAGGGTTCATTTTTTAAAATCTTGAAGTTCTTCTTTAAAGCAGGCAATGTGACGTTCACCAAACATTTACTGGAGGGGAATCTCCCTGGTGCTTTTGTTTAAATTACTAACATACCTGTGATTGACGCACCTGCAGTGAATGTTTGGAGAAAGTTACATTCACTGCTTTAAAATTATATTCCAATGTCTCTTGTACATAAAAATGTTAAATTTTAATTCGAAATTGAACGTTTAACCATATTGTTTTCTAAGGAAGGGCAAGCTGTAGAAGTGGACGAAGAGCTATGTGGAATTCTGAAAAACTCTCGATTTGGGGATCACTTTATATTTCAGCCCCTCAACAAAATATCTGGATGTAAAAAGGTAATTTACAGTTTCTCCATCTACATTTGGTGTGAAGTGCTCTGCACATTTCAGAAGTTATTGAAAAGAGCTCAGTTGTTAGCAAAGTATATCCTATGAGGAATATCCTATGACACACTCAGATGCAAAGGTAAAAGCCACAGGGCCCTGGTGCAGCATCAGGACAGGGGCCAATCGTAACGCATACAAAAAAAACGCTTCCATTCTGCCACTTTAGACGCCAATTTATAGATCTAGAAATGTTTTGGGGCAGTATTATTTAAATGGGTCATGTAACTTCTTACTCCGGGCAGAAATGATCTTAACCCTTGCATTGAGCCATCCCTGCACTGCAAGGGTTAAGTGCTCGTTTTCATTTAGGGTTGAAAATAACAAAGTTCTACTCACCTGAGTTTCGGAGCCGGACAACTATTAGACCGGTCCCTGCAGCCTGTTTCATCCTCTGCTCTGGCGATGGAATGTCCCTTGGCCTACACTGTATAGGACATGATAACTCACAGGACCTTAGACTGCCAGAGCGGAGGAGGAGAGAGGCTGCAGGGACCGATCTAACAGCCAGAGGTTCAGGTAAGTATATATTTTTTATTTTCGTCCCAAGAAGAAAACGAGCACTTAACCCTTACAGTGCTGGGATGGCCCCTACTGCAAGGGATAAAATTATTTCTGCCAAGAGTTCTTCTTTAAGTTTTGTTGTTTTCTTTAGTTTTGTTTTTTTACTATTTATATGAAATTAAAATCTAAATAAGAGACCTCCCTCCACTTATTTTTTAATCTCTGTGATGTAACAGCCCAGGTCCTTCCTCTCTTCATCCAGCATTGGTGTCGGGCGGTCGTCACTCCTAGACACCGAGAGGCACTGATGGAATGATTAATTCTTTGCAGTAACACTGTAAGCAGGCCAACATGACCAGAGACTGCATCCATGACATCTTGTGCTCACAAGTCATAGGTTGCAAGATGTTGGGCTTCACCCAACCTGAAAGACGACTGGCGCTGGATCACGGAGTGGTGAGTCTGTGGGAGACATTGCCGGAGAGGAGGTGAGTATTGCAGTGAAGGGCATGGCAGTACACTTATGTGTTTTGTAAAGGAAGAGCACAGCAGTAACTGAGCACAGAGCTCAATGGAGCAAACTGTGTGGTGATCATTGGTGGCATGCAGAGCGAAGGATTTCTGACAAGTGAGCTTGCTGTGTTTTACAAATATTAAAGTGACACTAAACTCAGGAGACAAATCTTAAACGTGCATTCATGTACCCTATCTATTAACAAAAAAAAAAAATGTATATTATTAGTGTATCACTTGGCTGTAGATCCTGAAATCATCTCTGAATCTGCGCTGACTCTGTCCTTCCTTCTGGAGGGTGGCTACTTTTGTTCCCCATGGTCCCTGTGTGTTGTAATAGTCACCGTTCCAAGCTCACTCCTGTGATGAACTACAATCTCAATACAAATTAGCTAACTAAACATGAGATTGAAGCTCATGACAGGAGTGAGCGGTGGCTACTTTACACACACACAGGGACCATGGGGAACAAGAGTAGCCACCCTCTACAGCCGAGTGATACTCAAAAAAGATACATTTTTGTTAATAGCTAAGGTACCTTTAATGCATTTTTAAGATGTAACTCCTGAGTTTAGTGTCACTTTAAATGGTGTGAGGACTTCATCTTATGCTGGGCCAACCAAGTGTTTACAACAAAAAAATATATCACCAAGTCCAACGTGATTTTGCTTGCTTCTTGCTGACTTGAAACTCTCTCTCTGGGGTCTTGCATTGCTAGCCTATTCTTCTAAAATGTCCCTGTAGGGCTCTAAAAAACCCAATGGCACTTTCCACCAATACAATAGTTATTATACTTACCTCGCCAGAGGCCGCTGTCTCCTCCAATACCTTCACTTCAGCACTGTAGCCTTCATCAGACTCTTATCTGACTTAGTATTCCACACGTCCGCCAATTTTATACAACTATGTTCTCCTCGGCACATTTGTAGTTCCATTCTCTGACCTGGCCTGACACAGTCAGAGACTTTACGACCCAATCTGTTGTAAACAGGTCCTATAGTAACCTTTTAATGAAGATGCAATACAAATGCTGAGTCATCTTTCATAAAGTGTTCTTTCAGCCGGAATCCGTGTCATACTTTCATTAAAAGTACTAAGTTGAGGGGGGGGGAGGGGGGGAGGTTGCAGCCCCTACCAGTTTGGTTTATTGCTGTCTGTGTCCCTGTTGGTGAAACTACAACAAGTTCTGCTCTACTGATAAAAAAGTTTTATTTTAGATTCCACTTCAAAGAGTCCCTGTTGCCAGACCATTCATTTCAACAACAATCCTCCTATAAGAATACATGTGTAGTCAATGTATTTTAGGTATTGTATACACCTGTAAAAACCTCCCTTGTGTAGACATTAGGAGCCCTGAGACTTCTGTTGGGCGCCACCATCTTGGATGTGGTGTCAGTCGCCCCAGCAGACTCAGAGGGGGTAATTTACTAAAGGCAAATGGGCTGTTCAATTTGCAAGGGGATTTGCACCCTGCAGGGGATGTTTCCTCCTAGTTTAGTGAATGAGGTGACGCTCTGCTGACTTCCATCATTCAATGATGTGCAAGCAAAAATACAGTTTTCTTAACATTTCATTAAATTCACCAAAGCCAAGGGGACACTAACCCTGGAAAGTGCAAATCCCCTTGCAAGGTCAACAGCCTATTTGCCTTTAGAAAATTAACCCCAGAGTGTCAGAGTTGTCACCAAGCAGCTGGAGGGCCAGAGCTTGCCTACCACTATATAGTATTCCTCTTCACTTCTCCCTCGGCTGCTACATTAAAGGTTATGTAAGAAGATCAGGGGAGATGCGGAGGAGCTGGGCCAGCAAATACAACAATTGGACACTCCACAGAAGAGAAGACAGTTATGACGTGCAAGAATGAAGGGGGCTGTGCTAGGGAATCAACTCTTCTGAAGAAGTCAAATCCTTTAGCAAGTTGAAAGGCGCTTTTCAGGCCATTAAAACAACGTATTTATGTTATGGAAACACACTGCAAGTAAACATGTAAAATACTTGATTATTCTGGGTATTTAAGCTGGTGACAGGTTCTCTTTAATATCAGGGAATCAATCATCTCTAAATCTCCAAGCCTACTGATACATTAATTTCTTTAACCCTTTCACTGCCACTGACGTATGTCATACATCAGCAGCAGCAGGCACTGGAGTCTGTTAACTGTGCAAAGCCGCCTGATCGCTTCCACAGGCCAGTAAATTGTTCCTCCTGCCCGACAACACCCGTCTTGCTTCCCGGGTTCGGCTGCCCCTTCAGTGGGCCCAGGACCGGCATGGCAGGTGTTGGCAGGAAGCAGGGAAAGAGACCAACAAACATCAATTCCGGCTCCTCAGGGGTCATTCCGCGGCTAGAGAAGTCGGGGAAGAAGCTAATCAAGCACGATCTGTGCTTGATCAGTTTCAATGGGCTGCAAAGGTGACATTAGGGGTTTAATAGACCCCTAATGTCACCTTAAAGAGAACCTGTCACCACTAATATGCTATCACATAGGGGGCCTGTGAGCCCCTCATGTGATAGAAATAAATTAAAGTAAAAAAAAATAAAAGTTTAAAAATAAAGTTACATAAAACAAGCCTAAAAACACCCCCCAAAAAATCCTTTGTCCCTGCCAACACGTGCATACTAAAGCAAATACGTGCAGGTGCACCTACGTACGAAAATGATTGCACCAGAAATGTTAGGTATCGCCATGTACGCCAGAGTGAGAGCAATAATCCCAGGGCCAATATTCACATTTAACCTTAGCATGTTGGGTATCTGTTTACTCGGCACAACCTCATCTTTTATTTGTGTTCACTAAAATTAATGTGCCTGTATTTTATACAGAAATTGTGGCGCTAATATCAGGCAACATAAAAATTTGCAATTGCCACCAGCCGGATTGTAACGTGCGCAAAAACAGCTCTGGCTGTGAAGCGGTTAAAGTTGATTGTCTAGCGACAGCTGCTGCCATTACTACGCATACTGATCAACACACATCCATGCCTGTTGGGTAATAATCACGTTGTTTGTGAGTGCTTTCAGAGTATTGCTTCCTAAATAGAAGTAGCTGATCCTTGTGAAAATAATTCTACCTGCTCTTAAAGGAATTGAATCTGGAACAAACTGGCATTTTAGATGTTATTCATTGTAACAACACGTATTGATGAAAATTACCTAACTGCTTGCCTATGTCAAAGGTTCATTAATTTGCCTACAACCCCAAGCTGTTTACTAGCAGAAGTACTAGTTTAAACCAGAGACGGACTCATTGCTGGCAGTTGATAGGGAAACCTGCACCTGCTGAAGAATGCTGCGGCACACATTCACATTGTAACACAATTGCAAAACTTGACTCTGTTTAATGCCTGAATTTTAATTGGAGAAAGTTAATGAATACAAGTTGTACCAGGTCACATTATGTGACTGTTGTGTTCTCTGCTCAACACATGATTACATGAAATGATGTAACAGCTTTACAATAGGAAAACAACTGTAGTAAAATACAGGGGTTTTTTTTTTACAGTTTTTATAGCAGCACATAGTAGTAGTAAATATTCCAATGCTATAACTAGAGACATCACTTTATAGATTGCATTATGTGATTTTTTTAATCAAGTTCTACCTTTGCAGATATGCTTTATCTCTTTATTGGCAATGTGCAAAGGCAACCATTTTATATGGACAACAGGCTGCAAAAGGACATTATAAACATCCATGGTGGATCCCTTCCTTTACTAATTAGGTCCGAACTGTACTGAGTCTAGAACCTGTTAAATAGTCCACAGCTACACAGCTCACATTCCAGAATCTGCTTGCACTACAATTACATCCCAAGTCAGGCAAACAAGCGTGCCGTCGCTCATAGCATTTCAATCTTCATCGGGGATAAAAATCTTTATTTATGGAGCGAATAAATACTGTTTTCTCTCCCGTTCATTGAAGGACACAGGGCAACAGATCGTAGATCCTGTATGGTAGGGTAATATCGCCACCTGCAGGAGAAGGACGCTAGGCACAAAACTAACCCTTGTGTGCTCAATGTCTAACGTGTTTCACCATTCCAGCTTACTCATAGAAACAGCATGTATTTTCTCCATAAATAAAGATTTTTATCCTTGGTGAAGACCCATGGAGTGTGGCTGTTTTTTGATTGAGTATAGAACCCCTGACCGATAAATACCTTGTAGTATTTCACAGGTGCTGTAGTGGATGGTGCCACAATAGATACACATAATGAATGTTACCAGCACACCGTCATTCAAAACGCATTTTTTTTATTTTAGTTGTTAATCACTTCAAAGTTATTCATCACATTGGAACCACCAGTGGTTACTGGTGTATTTAAGTTAGTATGGTACATTCATTTGTTATCACATTGCCGGATGAAGGGACCCAGCACGGTCCCCAAACATCGCTTTATCTCATCTTTTATGGCTGCAGGTTCTCAGGAAATTATCTTAACTACAACTAGGTTCTTAAAACCACATCTACTGTCAGTAACCAAACTTGGTGTGCCTTTTTATACAGCAGGATGCCTTCAAGGCACACCTCTAATTTCATCTTACAGCTTTATCTGTACCTTTTACCTGACTCTGTATCTTATCTGTATCTTATACCTGACTCCTATTACCTTCTATAAGATGTCAATCTGCTAGAGCTTCACATCCTTTTACCATACGGGATCTTGAATGTTTAACCAATTTGTTTGTGAAACACATGAGCATTGTATTTGTTGAATAAGACTACATAAATTATTAGATCACATTTTAGAAGCCATTCATGAAACAATCCAGGTAATTCCAAAGGGTATATGCTC